CCATTGTGTAGCTTTGGGCTTAACTTCAAAATCAACAACTACTCTACTCTTCGTGTTCTATTCCTGTACTGTGAATCTTCCAACATCCTAATTGCTTCATTTCCATTCTTTTTTTCCTTTTCGTTAACTTCTTTTTTTGATTGCTTTCTCTTTATCCTTTGAGTCTTACTACCTCTGATAAACTGTTCTCAACCTTTGTGTTGAATCTCATGTTTTTGTGAAAGTTTAGCGGATGGATAGTCTCAACGTCTCTAAAAACTGTTTAATTAAGTAACCTTGGAGCAAGAATAGGATACTGGTGTAAAGACTGTTTATTGTGTTGCTGTTACACCGACGTTTAATGTGGCTATAGTTTATTAGATTATTCTTGTGCAAGGCTAGGATACTGATACATTAGCTGTTCAGTGTATTTTGCCGTTATAGTGATGTCTGAAGTAGCTATATTCATTAGGTTATTTGAGTACAAGACTAGGATGTTGTTTGGTTGGCTGTTTAATGTGAATTGCAGTTATACTGACATTTAAAGTACCTACATTTTATCAGGTTATTTTAGTGCAAGACTAGGATACTGATACATTGGCTGTTTAGTGGGTGTTCCTATATTAAATGATACTGATTTATTGGCTGTTTCGTATGTTACCAATACATTTACGTCTGAAGAAAATGTATAATTTGAGGTTCTTTAAGTAAAAGAATTAAATTCTGATTCTTTATCCATTCGATATGTTGTTGTTTTCTTCATTACCCATTCAAGCTGTCTCAGATATTTATTGTGTCAACAAGTTTAGCACGGTGGGGACGGGCGTTATTACCTATTACACTGAAATATATGACAGGTACACCATAATAACATTATAAACGGTGGTAGGTTGTGGTTTCTATAATGTGTAGCATTGTCAGTACCGTTCTGTATTATATTAAATTTGGTACTTTTATCAAGACTTATACCCACGCCTACCACCGCCGTATACATCATGTCTCTATATAAATATAGAGTTGGATATACTTCTAGTTTTTCTACAAATGAGAAGGCGGTCGTTATTTGACAACATGGTTCTGCATAACTGTACAAACGGTATTGCTCAACATAGTGTTTATCCACCGGATATTCTCTTGGCATCATTTCAGGTTGTAGACATTTGCTTGTGTTGTGGATGATGGCTTGCGTTGACAATGTCCGAGCAACTGTACCATTAGCTTGGATGTTGATCCATATTCTGCTACGACACTTTGAGACATTCATAGCCAATTTGCAACAGCCTTCTGTGAATGACTGGTTCCAATTCATCCAATGTTCTCCACATGAGTGATACAGGTTGGTTAGTTGGTGTTTGAGGTTTATTACCGCAAAGCGACGCGGCTATCTGCGCCAAACAACCGGTATAAAAATAAAAACAAAAGGTAAAACTCCGTAAAAAGTAATAAGAAATCAAGCTGGACAGTGTCATCGTCGTCAATGACACCGTCCAACGTCAGGGGTAAAGCCTTAAAAAAGACATGTCTAAAATGGCGCCGCTGCCCACATTCGAAACGACGGCATGAAAGTAAAACGTAGGCAATTGTGAATTGAGTGTCATAAAGGCCACACATTGGCCTACACAAGACAACTTCCTCCCTCCGATCCTTACGGACACTAGACGGCCAAACAAGAACAGTAGGTTTAATCTGGAAAAGCTTGTTGTGAATCGACTGCCAACTTGCGCGAAGCCGGGCCTTGATCACAGGACCAAAGTCCCTATACTGGACAGGCACGGCTGTGACAGCACCAGAGCAGACAGACTT